GCGGGGGGGAGAGAAGTTGTGTGAGGAGGGGGACACACACACACACACACACACACACACACACACACACACACACACACACACAGACCTCGGGGCTCTCCTGGGGGTGATGGAGTCGTTTTGGTGGTGGGGAAAAGGGAAGGGGGAGGAAGGGGTGTGAGGATGAGGGGGGTCCCGTCCCTGCTTGGGTTTGAGGAAGATGTTTGGGGGAGATGAGGAGATGGTTTGTGGCCCCTGGCATCGCTCCTGGCTGGGTTTGGAGGTGTCATCTGTGGTGTCCTCCATGGGGAGGAGAAGCTGTTGGCACCATCATGGAGGGGAAGACGTGACCCGTCTGTCCCTGTTCCCCAGCCAAGCCCTGGGAGCTCCATCCAAGGCCTCTGTGTTCGGGGGGGACTTCAGGTGGGGGTTTAGACCTGGAGAGGAACTTTGGGTGCTTGAGGATGGGTCTGGGGCAAAGGGAAGGGCTGGCAGGGCAGGTTGGTCCTCAGCGGTGTGGCCGTGGGAGTCGTGTGTGGTACCTCAGGTGAACATCCACCTGCCCAGCCTGGCCCAGGTGGGACACAGGGGCTTGGTCTCAGCATCCTGTGGGATCCTGGGATCTGGGGAATGGACAAAGGTCAGGATGGGAACCTGCAGCCCCTTTCTGGACTTCCAGGCCACCCCACAAAGCCCCTTGGTCCCGCTCCGTGGCCCTGGCCTGGCTGGGACGCAGGCATCTCCCAAGCCAAGGGCTGCCAGCAGCTCCGCTCCTGGCTGGGTTTGGAGGTGTCATCTGTGGTGTCCTCCATGGGGAGGAGAAGCTGTTGGCACCATCATGGAGGGGAAGACGTGACCCGTCTGTCCCTGTTCCCCAGCCAAGCCCTGGGAGCTCCATCCAAGGCCTCTGTGTTCGGGGGGGACTTCAGGTGGGGGTTTAGACCTGGAGAGGAACTTTGGGTGCTTGAGGATGGGTCTGGGGCAAAGGGAAGGGCTGGCAGGGCAGGTTGGTCCTCAGCGGTGTGGCCGTGGGAGTCGTGTGTGGTACCTCAGGTGAACATCCACCTGCCCAGCCTGGCCCAGGTGGGACACAGGGGCTTGGTCTCAGCATCCTGTGGGATCCTGGGATCTGGGGAATGGACAAAGGTCAGGATGGGAACCTGCAGCCCCTTTCTGGACTTCCAGGCCACCCCACAAAGCCCCTTGGTCCCGCTCCGTGGCCCTGGCCTGGCTGGGACGCAGGCATCTCCCAAGCCAAGGGCTGCCAGCAGCTCCCGGAGCCCCGCCAAGCCCGGAGCCGCGCGTTGATCCCCCTCATCCCCATGGAATCCCTTTTATCCCAGGACATGTTTAGCCTCAATGAAATCTGGCTCTGGGGCTTCCTCTGCTGTGGGAAGGAGCCAGGTCCTGCGGGGACCACCAGGTCCCACCACGGAGCAGCCACGGGTGGGTGCTGAGCTGCTACTCTGGGACCACCAGAGCCTGTGACTCCTGCTCAAGCTTCCCCAGCTCAGGGAGGGACCAACTGTCTGGTTTTCCCAAAGCTGGGAAGGGCCTGGAGGTCAGTTTGTCAGCTTCTCCAGGACCTGTGAGCCTGGGGTTTGGAGGAGCAGGTGGTGCCTGGAGGAGAAGATGCCACCTGGTGCTTTGGTGGTCACGAGAGTGCTGCCCCTGGAAGGGGCTGTGCTGGGGTGGTGGTGCAGGACGTGGTCCCCAGGAGATGCTCTGCTTTGGTCATCTTGAGGACACAGTCCATGGAAGGTGTGACACTCGGGTGATGAGGCAGGAGATGGTCCCTAGAAGGTGCTGGGGGGGCTGGTGATGGTGCCCCCCAGAAGATCAGCCCTGCTGATGCCGCACTCAGTCTCCTTGACCCACCGGTGTGGCCTGAACCCCAGCAGGGCCCCCATTCTGCACCCACCTTGAGTGGGCACCAAGGTCCCACCTCAGAGGGACAAAATACCAACGGGTTTGGCCAATCCCACCCCCCACC